CAGACCCGTGGCAGGACATAGCTTTCTTGAGACCCTCTGAGAGACCCACAGATGGAAGGTTCCAGTGTGTATCCTCAGGGATGGATGGAGGAAACTTGGGGCTGGAAGCCATCAGGGCCTGATGATCTGTGCATAAGTAGGCTGCCCTAAGAGAGGTGATAGGTCTTTGGAAGCTAGGCCCTTCTTTGTTGGGCCTGCCAGGCTGCCTGAACTGAGGAGGAGGGCCCAGAAAGCCTGGTCGATTACAGACATCTCAGGACCAGAGCCAAGTTCCAGGGAAACAGATGTATTGTTTCTCAATCCACGAGGGTGGGGCTGTAATTCATACTATGTTGTAACAATGGGTTCCTGGCACACATCTGAGTCTGACTCACATTTCCTTTTCATTCTGAAACTTGAGTCTTGTGTTTTGCCTCCAAAAGATTCCAGTTTTGTTAAGACCTCGTCCTGAAGACTGAGCAGGAGCTGGCATCTACCCACATCTACCCAAGGTGACGACCCTCACAGTAAGGTGGCAAAAAAAAGGGGCTTAGCAGGGAGAAGACACTTGTCCTGAGGGTACATGAAAATGCAAAAGAGAAAGCAAGGGGAAGATATTGTGGTCTGCAGGAGGAAACCCTGGGCTTCCTGAGATCCACTTCCCAGTTTAGATGGCCTGTATAGGGGAGGCCCAAGATGTCACTTCCTGTTAGGTGTATGCAGACCCAACATCACTTCCTGTTTCCTCTAGGATTCAGACTTGGAGTTGATGTCACCTTTCATTCTATGCAGTCAGGAGTTCCACCCCCTATCTCCTGTGCTCTATGAGAAGGACCACATATGGCCACCAACCATATATGTGCTTATCTGGACTCACATAAACTAGGGAGGGCACTCCTGTGCTGGAGCTGACATACGCCCCCACCTGATCATCAAGATGCAAGTCCTGGTTCACATTCACTTTCTACTGTTCTTTTTATTTTTAGATTCATGATTTGTGCGCTCTCTCTCTCTCTCTCTCTCACTCTGTGTGTGTGTGTGTGTGTGTGTGTGTATGCCATGTGTATGCAGTTTCCAAGCAGGTCAGAAAAGGGTGTCTAACCCCCTGGAGCTGTAGTTACTGGTTGTATGAACTGCTGTGTGTGGATGCTGGGATCCCAATTTTGGAGCAGCAAGTGCTCTGATCTGCTGAGCCATCTCTCCAGCCCACTTCCTCCTGTCTGTAACATTTCTATTTGTAGGTCAGGCAACTTACCTGAGGTCCATCTTCCTGCCTCGGTGATGGAGAGAGTCCATTTGAATTAACCCTTAAGAGAGGGACTATGGCATGGTTTTGTTCTTTACCAGAGTGCTTGTCCAGGTAGTTTTTGTTTTATTTTATCTTTTGAGACAGTCTTATGTATCTCAGGCTGGCCTTGAACTCAATATGTAACGATGGTCTCTCTCTTTCCTTTTTTTTTTTTTAAAGACCTATCTGTTTTTTGAGTGTTTTGTCTTCATGTTTGTATGAGTGCCTGGTGCCCTCAGAGATGAGAAGGGGGTGTCAGATCTTCTAGAATTGGAGTTACAGATGTTTGTGGGCCATGATGTGGGTGTTAGGAACAGAATCCAGGTCCTTTGCAAGAGCGGCAAGTGCTCTGAACTGCTGAGCTTCTCTCCAGGATGATTTTAAAGGCCTTAACTTCCTGCATCCTCCCAAATTCTGGGATTCCAGGCAGGTGTTACTGCACCAGGGTTAACTGGGGCTTGGACCAGGGGCCTCATGCATGCTAGGAAGGATCTTCACCAGCTGAGCTACACCTGCGCCACCTGGTGGTTGAGAATGTCACATCTACCCGAAGCCAGGGACAAACTCACATCTCCCCCACCCCCTTCAATTTCTCTATATTTTTGAAAATTTTTTATACTTATGCACACAGATCTTATCTGTTAAGCTCCTCATTTTGTAAGCTGCTGATTGTGAGGCCTTTCCCATGACCTTCAAGCCTGTTCTTATCTGACCAGCTACCTCTGTTGTCAGGTGTGCTGGCTGGCTTTGTGTTACCTGACACAAGCTAGAGTCACTGGGAATGAGGAAAACTCAATTAAGAAAATGCCTCCAAAAGATCTGGCTGTAAGACATTTTTTAAAATTAGTGATCACCAACCCATGGTGGGTGGGGCCACCCCCGGGGCTAGCCATTCTCCATTCTATAAGAAATCAGACGGAGCAAGCCATGAGGAGAAGCTAGTAAGCAACCCCCTTCCACAGCCTCTGCATCAGCTCCTGCTTCCAGGTTCCTGTCCTGTTTGAATTCCTGTCTCAATGTCCTTCGTTGATGGACTGTGATATGGAAGTGTAAGCTGAACAAATTGTGTGCTCCCCAACTTGCTTTTGGTCACAGTGATTTATCACAGCAATAGAAACCTTAACAAGACACCAGGAGATCTCATGAGGCCTCATGGATAGAGCAGGTTTGTAGGTGGGACTGGCTGAAGGAAACAAAGAGATTCCTCAGCTCAAGACCCCTGCCCCTCAAGCTTCCTAAGAGTCTAGAGAGCCCTGCAACATCAGGACAAAGCACAACACCAGAGGCTATGATGGTGAGCTTTGTCATGTGACCACCCTAGATCCTGTGGGGCAAGATCCCTTTGTGGGTCAAATTTCAGGTATTCAGCATATCAAATATTTACACTACAGTTCACAACAGTAGCAAAATTACAGTTATGAAGTGGCAACAAAATAATTTTACTGTTGGATATCATCACAGCATGAGGATTAAAGGGTTGCAGTGTTAGGGAAGGTTAAGAACTGTGGCTCTAGGACCATCTAGCAGATTAATTAGCCAGCACATCTGTGAGGAAGTTTTGAGATTGGTTAACTGAGGAAGGATGGAAGATCTACCTGAACCGTGGGTGGCACGCTCCTGTAGGCTGGGGTGCAGGGCTGACAGCAGGGAGAAAGTAGGCTGAGCACTGGGGTTCATCTTTTATTGTTTTCTGACTGGATTCAACATGACCATGCTCACACTCCTGCTGCCACGCTGGACCGAACCCTCAGACTGTGGCTGGAGAGATGGCTCAGTGGTGAAGAACACTGACTTCTCTTCCAAAGGTCCTGAGTTCAATTCCCAGAAACCACATGGTGGCTCACAACCATCTGTAATGGGGTCTGATGCCCTCTTCTGGTGTGTCTGAAGACAGTGACAGTGTACTCACATACGTAAAATAAATAAATCTGAACCCTCAGACTGTAGCCACATAAGCCTGCATTCCCTTGAGTCACATCTTAACAGGTGAGGTGTGGTTTTTTTTTTTTCCCCTGTTTCTGAAACAGGGTCTCTTGCAGCACAGACTGGCCTTGAACTGGCTCTATAGCCAAGGATGGCTTTGAACTTCTGACCTTCCAATTTTCACTTCCTAATTTCTGTGCTGACAGGTATGCCCCTCCACGCTCGGTTTTATGTGGTGCTGGAGATCCAACCCAGGGCCTCGTCTGTGTTGGGCAAGCACTCCATTGATTGAACTTTGCCCCAGTCACTGACAGCTGTTTGTTATTAGGAAAGTAACTAATGCAGGGCTATGACGTCATTGAGGCCCATGTGGATCTAGGGCTTGGGTTGCGACCATTCCTCCACATTCCTTTTGGATACTCTGTTTTACCCTTTGTGATCATGGGCCAGGGTCTCCCCAGGCTGAGCCATTGAGCCTCACCCTGGCCCCCTGAGCCCTCTAGTGCAGGGGACTCTCACGCTCAGCCCTTGAGTGGGTGTGTCCTCCTCACTCAGGGCGGGTGGCAGAGGCTGAGGCAGAGAAAGGATGTGAGCCCAGCTCTAGGTTCCCTGGGCTATGGTGTGGGAGGGAGGTTCAGGGAGACAATAGTCAGCTCTGTGGTCATGTGATTGAAACCAGAAAGGACACTGGGGTTCTCTCTAGGTAAAGGAGCTCCCTAGAACCTGTTGTCATGGCAGCTAGGACTGGTCACCTTAGAAAAGAGAGAAACATACACAGCTAAGTCCTGGGACCCAAGCACTCCTGACTGAACTTCGTGCCAATGTATAGAAAGCAAAGATACCAGACCCTCTTCCCTTTGGGGCTTATTAAAGGGGCCGGCAAGACTCTTATCTGGTAAGAGAGAAGATTGGGTATGACCTGAGTGTGATCCCAGGTTCTGCCACAAGGTGGCAGAAGAATATAGACTTTGGGGA